GAAAAGGTTCAATTAATGCTTTTACTAAGACAACTCACTATAACAGTGAGTTTGTTTTGCATCGTTTCCAGGTATTAAATCAGGGCTTGTTTAAATGCATGGACACAATATAACAAACTGCTTTGAATGTAGAGTTTCACAAGGCTTTTAATTCAGTTTGACAGTTTTGGGTAGTTTTACAGCTAACCTTTGTGATAGAGACAATAAGACAGGTAAAAATGGAGAGATCAAATCATTACACCCTCACATACCCAATGATCATTTTTGGGCACAAATAAATAGCAGGCCTCAAAAAGCTTCAACTTCCCTGTACTAGTTAGCAAATTGACAGTATATGTATGTATAAAATTTCCAAGGCGCCATCAGGAGCTACTACCTACAAGGTGTTTCTGTTTCCAAACCAGGAGAAACATCCTATAAAAATTGCACCAAAGCTCTGCTCCAAAACATACACACCCTTGCATTTGTTTCCAAAAGGAAGTAAAAGCTGACCTGGATCCTGAATTCAGCAAGCTGCGACAGGAGGTCCTGAAAAGTCTGCAGGTCTGCAGGAGGCAGTTCAGAAGACAACACTATACCCGCATAGCACCCTGGCATCTCTGCCAAGGAGTCAGGGAACATAAAGATCCCGGAGTTAGCCAGCAGCACTGGGGTGTCTTTTGTCAGTGGGTACATCCAATCGCATACCTGGAAAACACAATGACATTAAAATATGTAGGTGATGAATGTTAAGAGTCCTTGGAATTAGATCCACATCTGCTGTTTATAACAGAAACCTGAAATCTTTAATATGACACAGAGAGTGAGAAATGACAACATCTGCTGAGTGTTTGTTTCCATGAGGGGGAATATGTCCCATATGCAATTTATTTCATCAAATAACTTCACTGGAAGATATTATAAGATTTGGTTTGAAGGGTTTCCCGAGGGTTCTTGCTTTCTTTTTCTCTTTTGAGTATAAAACTGTACTCTCATTTCCAAGTATTTACAATGTCCTCTCGCCTGTTTATAGACACATTGTAGGATTTAAGGATTCAGGATTAATGTCACTTCTCAACTGAGGCAAAATACAGACACTTGCTGCATCGTACCACTGGTATGCCGGCTGATAACATGACCCCTGTGAGGGCACAGGACACTGAACAGCAATACAACAGAAGCGCAGAGTCATCTGTTAATGGGACCATTGTCTTGGCCCAAAACAAAGCAAGGACAGAATACAGGAGCAGCCTACCAGCCTGGTTGGGTGGGAAACAAGAGTCATGGGTTGCAGTGCAGTTTACAGCACAGCATAATACAGGCTTTGTAAAGGTGCCAGAATAGATTGGTATTTTATATAAACTCAATACAAAAGCCATCACACAGAAGGTTGCCAGAAAGCACAAAGTAAAAAGGATATGAATGGATATAAAGTAGATAAAGTCACACTGTTGCACAGGAAAGATTAAGCAACTAATATCTGTTCTATAGATGAACAAGCTATAATAAGTCTCAAATGAAACTGTTACAAACTAGCAACAGTAACATGCTATTCATTTAACAGTCTAATAAATAATAAGCATTTGTACTTCAGCAACCAATTTCATCTGCAACATTGCTGTTTTAGTGTAACAACAATGATGGGATTGGAAGCTGAGGGTGAAGCATTTGGGCAATCTATCAATTGGTGGCATGATTAAAAATTTATATGTAACTATTTTAATATTTTAAAAAAATGTTAAAGGCCTTTTTTCAGAAAATAAATACATCTAATCCACCATTTGTTGCTAAAAAAAAAAAAGGTGTAAGAAATCAGTTAACAACACTGCCTTTTTAGCACTCAGTTCCAACATTTTGTAGAAACACATACTTATTGTTGAACTAAACATATCCATAAACTGTACCATAATACCATAATTTACTAATAAAAGTGGCACCTTTTAATTTTCTCACACTACATTACTATAAAAAGTAAGTATAAATTACGTAAACCTTGCATATAGCATAAATTATAATATGAAACACGAGTCCCGCACTGTCTTGTTCGACTTGTACATAAAAAAAATACATTTAAAAGGTGTATTTATTATTGTAGGGAACTTCTCTTTTGTTTTAAGTGGTTAAGGAATGTGTCAAAAACACGTCATCGTTTGTAAGAGGAACATTTCTTTGACTCAGAGTTATGAAAGGCTTCTCAAAGAGAAGAAACAATTCCCCTGGCGTCACAGCTGCTTGCTCTTCAGGACACACGCCCAAAATAAAAATGCTTCTAAAATTCTAAAATACACACTCTCACAGGTTAACATACACTTAACAACAAATATACTTACATGTAAAAACACTGCAGGTTTTTCAGCAGGGGAATCCTGCTGACTGTCCACCACAATGATGCGAAGGTAGCCTGGAGAGGAGAGTGAGCTGACTTGCCCGTTTGGTGCCACAAAAAACAGCTGCACCCCGGAAGGGATGCACAGCAGTTCAGTTCCATTTTCTCCTGCTACTGCTCCAGTCTGTCTTCCTGGACAAAAGCCACCTTCAACAGGAGCATAAGCCACAATACGGTGCCCATCTGTGGGCTGTGGTGTGTATGCTGGAGGCTGCTCTGCTGGACTGGCCATGGCTATAGTTTTTGAAACCACTGCAGGGAGTGTGTCTGGAGCAGGAGGGGACGCAGGACTGACAGGGACTGTGTTGGGGGTTGGGACAATGTTGTGGGTAGTAGCAGGTATGGTGGGGTAGAGATGGTGGACAGAGCTTTGGGGAGGCTGGCCGTTTGGTGCCAGGTCTGGATAAAGTTGGGGAGCAGAAAGATCCTTCAACAGCTGGTCTCTCTGGTTTGCTGTTCTAGTAAGCTGAGATGTTTCCAGGTCAGAAAGGTGGTTCTCAATTGTTTTTAAAGTATCCCTCATCTTCTGTTGAAGCTGCCGGGCTGTGTCCCAGTTCGCTCCCTGCTGCCGCTGCCCTCCAGTGGGAACCTCCAGTCCCTGAGTGAGGTGTAGCCGACCCTTCCTGTAACACTCGAGGGCCTCGGCTCTTTTTTCTGCCTCTTCTGCAGCCAGTCCACGACTCAAAGAATGAAACGCCAGCTCATACTGGTCCCTGATGAGCAGTAATTCAGCAGGTTCACCCATCGCCTACCACTGAGGAAAGGGCGCAAGAAAACTAGAGAGGAGATAATGAAAGCTTGTTAGCTCTCTTCTGTGTGTGTGTATAGTACCTGTTCTAGAAAGAAAATGTAGTCAGAGGCACTAATTCAGAGCTTACGTACTCTGACAGCAGCGTTTATGAGTTACGTGAGAAAAATCTCAGCAATGTAACTGCTATTGGCAGCTGTTGCCAGCAGAGAGGTTAAACGGCAGGTTTTACCTGAACAACAAGACCTGCGTGCGAGCTTTCTAAAGCTTTCCCACACATCGCTGGGAGACTACTAGGAAACTGAACTTCAATTACTGCCAAAAAAAGAAAATGCTTCAAAGAGTCGTTATTTGAATCCTCGAGTGTTCTACTGACATTCAGGTTTGAAACCCCCCTCCTCATATCAGTTTTCTCTTAACTCTGCAGCGTCTTCTCGCGCTCCACCAGCCTCGCGCAAGTAAGCGGGATAGGCGCGAGAAAAAAAAAACGCCTTCCGGCCAGTCCTTTCAAAGTAAACTCCAAACCGATTGCCCGTCTTTTAACTTTGCTTTTAACTTTGCCTTGCCAGTCTAAAATCTACGAAACATATGTCAGTCCTGTCTGAATGATGATGACGATAAAGCCGTTTAGACACCCAAATCACGGACTTTTATATATCTTTTAATTATACCGTTAAAAATTAAGATGTAATTTTTACATGACAAATTAAAAACGCCGAAAATCCCGATGTGAAATTTAATTTACAATTTAATGCACAGTATTTAAACATTGCAATTTAAATGCATTAGGAATTTCATTCAGAAGAAGAAATAAAACACAGTGACAAAAACTCTTGTGAAACTATGAACTTTTATTGAAAAGTTCATACCGTCTAAAAACATTTTTCAATCAGTCATGACACATAATTCTAGTAAACTACCACTAAATACTACCTTCCAAAACTTTTCCCACTGCCACCATGTACATATAAAAAGTGGATTTTACTTCACTTTTACATTAACTGCGCAGAATGGTGCCTTAGTTCAGGCTTAAAAGGCGGTTTGTTTTAATGCAAATCGTTTTCTGTGTTAACATAAATCTTGCGGTTTGTGTTTGCAAGTATGTATTGCACATGTACAAGTGCTATAGAAAAAAAAGTTAATAAAAGTTTAAAAAGCACACACTGCAAACATATACAAATGTAAAAAGCAAATATTCTGCATGAAAAGACAATAGTGTGTGATGCAGGAAACCTTCTGAGGTTACCTAACTACGGCATCTTACCAGAAAACAGACATTTTCATGCAAAACAACTCCAAAAATATCAGACATGGCTTATTACATGTATTGCAGATATCTGGGTCATCAGGTTATTTTCATCTGCATAAATTTAAAAAAAAAATGTCCAGATCGGCTTGTATGAATAATCTTGGCAGCAAATGCCACTTTGCTTGCTTGTTTGTTTGTTTTGTTCTTCATTTCATTGTGTCAGATGGGTGTAGCAGTGAGTCACGGGAAAAACAAAAAAGCAGGGGGAGTGAGCCATGAAACGCAACAGTACCTGTAAACGGAGACAGAAAACATCATAAGGAAAGACAGAAAACAAGACATGCAAAACTGTACATGACAGGCTTTCATCTTATCATAGTTGTTTTTAAAGTGGTTTGAATTTTAAAATACATAAACCATTCCTTACTTTGAATTTTTGTACTTTTCTCTGATGCCTTGTAGTGGGCGACTCTTTGCGCTGGCGTATAGCTTGTACAGGTGAGTCAGGCAGGGGGAAATTTCAGCCATCGTGTATCCGCTAAAAGCCACTAAAGAGTCGGGCTAGAGAAAGTAGAAGTAGAAAAACACAGGTTAAAAGTCACATTTTGTTTCCTAATTTCTTAAGGAATTTCAATAAAATTAGATTAACCAAATAAAATATCAAACTTACCCATAAAGACGTATTTATGGTGTAGGAAGCTAGGCAGTAGGCTGCAGCAGCAACCATAGAGGGGCTGTACTGTAGAAATGGATCCATTTCCAGCAGGCTTAAGTCCGCCACATACTAGAAAGCAGAAATAAAAAAAAAATACAATAAATAAAAATAGAAAATCATATCCATATTCCTTAAAGGCATTTGGCCTGACTGTTGTTAAGTGGTTCAATTTACTCACCAGGGCCAGGTTTTTGGTGTTGGGACAGACAGACTCGATGGCCATGAAAAGGTGAAGGAACGAGTTTATGGTGGGTGCCGCCAAGTTGAAGCCCAGCACACTAAGAAATGCTTGCTCCATCCGGACCAGCTCTTTCTTAGTGTAGGTGTTGTCTGTGATGAACACAAATTGGTCGAGTTTAGGAGGTGACTTCTCCTCATATTTTCTAAAAAAAAAAAAAAAGAGTAGCAGATAAGATGGCATGTTATATGTAAGGTTGACTATTACCACAGACTACTAGCAAAAAAGAAAAGGGGAAAAAAAGCATTGATCATTAGAAACAAACAGTGACTTACGCAGCAATCACTAAGGCAGCCGTGGCAACCAGCTGCAGCTTGCCTCGTTTCACATTTCCAATGAGGGAGAGAAATCGGTCCAAGTAATTGATAGCAAGATGAAGAGTTTCAGTTTCAAGTTCGAATTCCTTCGCCACCTCAGCCATCCAGTCCACCAGAACGACGCGCATGTCATCCGTGATCTCTGGGTGTCTCTCTAAATACTTTGGCCTTGGCCTGAATTTAATCTGCAATCAGAAGCCAAAACATTATATAGTGAACTGAAGAACAACACGTCACAGTTACATTACAATAAGGTTGAAAGAAATTATGGAGGTCACTGGGCAAAGAAATAAATAAAAATAACCAAACATACAAACAAAAAATTCAAACCTCATTATTCCTCAAGTGCTGGTGAATATCTCCTGCATACTCCAGACAAAACACCTCCTCAGATTCAGAAGGCGTAGAAGCATCCTGGCATGGACCTATAAAAGTAAAAAGTAATGAGCATTAAGGAAAGAGGAAAAAACAACATGTTTGCTTGGTAGATTCTTTTTTAATCTGTCATACTCACTTGAACTCAGCTCCAGCATGATTGCCATATCTTCATTGTGCAGGGCATTGGTTTCCTCATCTTGGTAAGAATGGTATCCGACAACTTCTTCGCCAGAAGCCGCAAGGACAACTTCGCGAGCCTCTTCAACGTATACATCTAAGCTGGAGCTGGAAGCGCAGCCCAGACAGTTGAGTTGAGAGCTTTCTGAGGTTGAGCTGTGTTTGGAACACTGGCCACCCTGAAAATGATAATAACCGAACATGATGGCCTTGGTTCCTTAAAAAGAAGAGAGCTGGATTTCCTGGGTTTGTCGAGATGTTTCCTCTCTCCTCCAAGAGTCTTGTTCAGTTTTGAAATAACAGAGGGGAGAGCTTCCAGATATTTAAACCCCCAGTGAGACTTGGTCCTGAGAGTCGCTGACCTACTATTGGGTCGACACATAAGTGAAGGTATGAAAAAGGGGCGTTGACCATTACTGAGACTGGGTACAAAGGGTGAAGCCTCTGTCTACCATTGTCCCATTCATCATCGTTTGATTTGTTAAAATTACCTGAGGCAACTTGATTGGGAGCTGAAACTCCTGAGAAAGCTTCAAAAGTCTGTATAGGGAGTCGTCAATCACCACCCGTTTTCAACGATGGTCGTTCACAGTGGACAAAGGCCTCCTTTACACCTTTCTCAAACCGTCTGTTTTCTCAGTCCAGACATTGTGAACATTAGCGAGAGTTTCCTTTCTCCTTTGATCAATCTAATGGAGTCTTGTGTTGATGACCTGGCACTGATCTAAGCTTTTATTCACCCTAAATCAGCAGTATTGATAATAACCAAAAACACTTTTCTAATTAATTTCTAGTCTTAATTTTTATTTCATTTTAACATTTTGCTTCAAGTCAGTTTAGTTTGAATTAGTTTCCAAAGTGAGTTTGCTCGTTTCAGCTTAGTTCCTATTTTCTTAGTTTTAGTTGTTAGTAATTCTCTTTTTTATGGTGGGCACATGCCAGAGATAAGATTTAAGGACATCAGTAAATACATTACAATAACGACCCATAACTTTTTGAAAGCAGTTGACACAGTCATCCACAGTCTCAATAAACACAGCTATCAAAGCCTCATGAGGCTTTCTGATTAAAAAAAAAAAACACTATTTATTATCATTTATTTTACTTAGTTTTCCAGGTTCACAAAATAATTGCAATTTAACTTTTTTTCAAAGGTCTGCTTTTTAGTTTTTTGTATCTAGTTTTAATGTTCACTTTAGATTTAAACTTGGTTTCTGTAATATTAATCTACCAGTACACATAAGCTCTTTAATCAGAATGACAATTTTAAGTATAAAATATAATTATTACTGTTATTTTGATGAACAGTTCATTTTCAATTTTACTGTTTTACAAAAAAGCAGGAAAATGATGTGATTACGAAGCCAAACTAAAATTATTTACTTGCATTCCTGAACAGAAAAATCCATTTTTGATGTTAAATCTTATGCTTGATTAATTTCTGGCTTCTCAGACAAGACCAGTATGTTGGCTCAAATATGGGTACAAACATGTACCCATATTTGAGTAAATACAGTAATTGCTACAGTAATTCTGTACCGGGCTCATGTGACAATAGTAGCTCAGCGACCTTCGGGATGAAATCCAATGACACAATCTCCATTAGAGGTTGAATATCAAATGAAGAAGCCTCTTAAATGAAAGCTGAAACGTTTACTTTGTCCTAGATGACTGAGAACCAAAATAGACAAGCTAACATGATTGTCACGTTAACAGCGGTGGGGAGTGTTTTTTCTCTGTCACCTACCTGGCCGAGGGATCGACCTCGCAGTTCATTTTCTGACAACACACCAAGCACCGTCCGCTGTTTGGACCTCTGCAGTGTATCTACTCTGGCTGAGGGTGCCATATTTTCTTTGCTGGCTCGACTGCGTTGACTTTTGCTAAAGTTCATCTTTAAACAAAGACATTGGAAAAGAACAAGTAAAAAATATGCTTTTTTATCCAGAAAGATTATAATGATTATCAGGTCTCTGTCAGTTTCCTGTATACATTGGCAAACACAGCAAGCAAGTATGAAGACTTTACTTTCAGAGTAAAAATGCTTTAAAGCAGTATAGCAGCCAAACAGGATTGCAAGTGACTGATTTTAAGATAGAGAAATGTTGGAAAACACATTACAGGTTTCGCAGCGCTAAAGCGGATGAAGTTGTCTGTTTTTTTAATAAAACTATCACATAAAAAAATATCATATAAGGGAGATCAACTACAGTTTATACGCATTCATCATGTGCATCAAAGTCATGGTCACTAAGGGCTTTTAATTATTACTTTCAACTGCTCTTTTAACAGGGTGGAATATTTGTACAGCATCTTTAATAGCTTTCTATAATTCTCACAGGCTCAAAAGTACACACGCAGGCTTTAAAATATACACACACACCCCACTAACCTATGGTATAAGTGTCTCTTTGGTTAAATGTTGTGGCTCAACCACATGCTTTTAGTAGCCATCAATGAGTTTCTGGGTAGATCTCTTCTTGACAGAATTGGTAGGGTTCATATTTAAACTAGGGTGGACATGTGCCACACATTATCAGTCGTGTTGAGGTCAGGGCTTTGGGAAGGCCATTCCAGAAGCTTAATTTTAGCCTGCTTTATCCATTACAAAACCAGTTTTGTGTTTGGGATCACAGTTGGAACACCCGACTGTGTCCAAGCTTCAGCCATCTAACTGTTGTTTTGATGTGAAGTTGGTGAATTACATATCATTATTCCTTACTACATTTACTTGTCATTGAGGCCAACTAGCTTAATCTTTGTCTATGATTATGTGGATAAGCTCGAGTCGTTAGCCAACACCCGTTTTGAACGATGGTCGTTCACAGA